TCGCTCCCTGTCGCCTAAATCTCGGCCAAAGTTAAAAAATCAAATTTTTCAGGCAGAAATTTCCGGAGGTCATGTGATATTCCGTAAATCGACACCTAATTAAATTTCCTGATGTGGTTCTTGATACCGACTGGTTGAGAAGAGCGAAAGCAATCATCGACTACCAGGAATGCAAGCTAACGTTAAAAGACGGAGAAGGAACAGTCGAAATCCCCTGCAAGAATACTAATGCGACGACACTAGATAGTGATGACGAGGATGATAGTGAAAGTGGAGAAGAGCAGGAGGAAAGTAGCGAAGACACGGACATGGAAGAGGATGAAGTAAATTTTGCTGGATTAACATACGAACTATCACAACAGGAGGCCAGCACTACATGCAAGATCACACCTGAAGGAATACGTATCAATTTGGAACACACTACGTGGGAGACCTACGATTACCTGACGTATTGTCTCGATACCGTTAAAAGGAAGAAGCGTAAGCAAGGACGACGAAAAGAAACAGGACCAAATTCCTATTGCTAGTGCGACAGATATCTTGAGCACGACAAAGACAAATGTGACGCTTGCGGAAAACGATTGCGGAGTTGGGAAGCAGTCTCAATAATACCACGAGACGAAATCTGGGATGTTCAGTGCAACTTGGTTCAAGGAGGAGTGGAGAAGCTTGAAGAGAACCAGTATAAATTTCAAATCGATGAAATCCTTGAGGAATTTCCAAGCCTGGCGGCAAACGACCTCTCACAACTTGGAAGGACTAGTCTTTATCAGCACACCATAGACACTGGCGAAATGAAGCCAATTAAATTACATCCGTACCATACCTCTCCCCGACATTTGAAATTTTTGAAGGAGGAAATAGACCACATACTGAATAACAAATTAATTCAGAAGTCTTTCAGCCCTTGGTCCACGCCTACAGTAGTGGTCAACAAGAAGAACAGAAAGTTTAGGCTCTGCGTCGACTATAAAAAATTAAACGCTGTTACAAAACCTGATACTTATCCCGTCTCACAGATAGCTGACATGCTGAATACTTTGAAGCATTCTGCCTTCTTCTCTACGCTGAACCTGGCGTCAGGATTCTGGCAAGTAGAAGTGTCGCAAAAGGACTGTGAAAAGACTGCCTTCACCACACTATTTGGAATATATGAATTCCTCGTGATGCCCTTCAGACTCGTCAACACTCCCGCAACGTTCCAGCGAGTGACGGACAGAGTCTTTCACGAGGTCGCCTAGAAGTTCGTGCTTGTATATATAGATGACATTATCATCTATTCAAAGACCTGTGAAGAATACGCAGAACATATAAGGACCGTTTTCATCCTTTTGAGGAATGCGGGACTGAAAATAAATATGGAAAAGTGCGACTTCTTCAAAACCAAGTTATCATTTTTAGGTCATGTCATAATGGTCGAAGGAATGGCTCCTGACCCAACGAAAGTAGAAAAGGTGCAGTATTATCCCATTCCAGTGGATAAGACAAACGTTCGCGTGTTTCTTAGGCTAGCGTCTTACTACAGGAGATTCGTAAAAGGATTCGCGACAATAGCGAAACCACTGCACAGCCTAACAAAAAGGGATATCTCATTTAAATGGAACCACGAACACCAACTCGCTTTCGACTCACTCAAGAAACACCTAATATCAATACCCATTATGACCTACCCAGACTTTTCGAAACGATTCACGCTTGCCACCGATGCGTCCGACTGGAGTATTGGAGCTGTGCTCTCCCAGAAAGACAAAGAGAACTATGAACACCCTGTCGCCTATGCCAGTCATCTTTTAATCGCCTTAGAACAAAACTACACTGTCGTCGAGAGGGAATGCCTTGTCGCCATTTGGGCCGTACGATATTCAGGCACTACTTTCACGGCCCTCAGTTCGACTTGTACATGGATAACCTAGCCCTCACCTGGTTGAAAAATCGTCCACAGCCAAAAGGAAGAATCGCCCGATGGATTTTTGAGCTATCTAAGTATGACTATGAAATCATTCATAAGCAGGGTAGGCTCAACGCCAATGCCAACGCCCTCTCCAGAACTAAGCACTAAAGCCAAAGGGAAACTAAGAACTCAGATATACACCGAAAAGAAATCCGCAAAAAAAAATAAAAAAAAAAAAAAAAAAAGAGAGAGAGAGAAGTTGATTATATAATAAACAAAATAAGGTGTAGATAATGGACACGAATATATACAACCAGATTACTGAATACCTGATAAACCACACCTTCCCATGGGATTGGAACAGCGAACAACGACAACAATTGCGGCTACAATCAAACCATTACATAGTACAGAACAACTTATTGTTCAAGCACGACAAAACCAATAATCCATTACGAGTAATTCTAAAAGACGACGTACCAAAAATATTATACAACATTCACAGTACACCAAGTGCAGGACACTTCGGCACAAAGTCAACCATAGATAAAAACCAGGCAAAGATATTTCTAGCTAACCATGAATGCAGACATAAAGAGATACGTAGAAACGTGTGATGTGTGTCAACGACAAGGGAAGCCGGTGCGGACTGAAGAACTACGGCCAATAAAAGTAGGACAAGCCTTTGACCGGATAGGAGTAGACATCGTGGGACCCTTAAAGTTAACGTCTATGATGAAAAGGTATATCATAGTAGTCACTGATTATTTCTCAAAGTGGCCAGAAGCAAGGGCAATAGAAAGGGCAGATGCGATAACAGTCGCGTGTTCCTGTATGACGAGATTATATGCCATCACGGATGTTCACGAGAAATACTATCAGACAGAGGGACAGTATTCATCAGCTAGGTAGTAGCGAACCTGGTGGATATAATGGGAGCACACCACAGGCTTACGTCTGCGTACCACCCACAAATCAACGGACTAACAGAATAGTTTAACCAGACGCTGTGCAGAGCCCTGATGAAGCGCATAGAAGAAACAGCATATGACTGGGATGTGTTGATACCCTCAACACTTTTCACATATCGAACCATCAAAAACAGAATAACAAAGTATGAACCTTTTTATTTGCTTTACGGCCGTGCCGCTACCCTGCCCATAGAACTCGATATCGTTATGTGGCCAACTACGGAGATTAACGAAGAACAGTTTGAAGACCTAGTTAACAGGAGGATCAGTGAGACCGTAGGAGTATTCGCGGATAACAAGATTAAGGCCAATGGAAACATAAAAGATGTCCAGACAAGACAGAAGAGAATTCACGATAAAAGGATTAGAGCAATGACGTACAAAGTTAGCGATTTGGTATTAGAATATCGCTTGGACCTGTAAAAAGTACACAGCGACAAATTTCAAAATAGGTAGACGGGACCCCATTTCATCCATCGTGCCCTGGAAAATGGATCATGCATACTGCGAACTATAAGTGGGGAAATACGCAACGATCGACCTGTACATGGAAACTACCTAAAGTCCTATAAACAAAGGGGTTTCATCTCACGTGAGATTTCAGGAGAGCATGAAGATTCTGAACTTAAGGAGAAAAGTACGAAACTTTCTTTGTCACAACAAAAACATTTAATATGAACCACCTACAAGTTCCCAAAGGTTTTCTCGAGCGAGTTAATGGATTACGTAAGGAACTGAATGAAATTTTCAAGAAAGCACAACTTATAATAGACAATACTGGAGCATACCTAACGGTGGAAAGGTGCTTGGTGAACCTGGTAGAACTCGCGAGCAGCAAGGAAGTGCCACAAGAGAATGACATGCTGCTCCTGTATGCTTTAGACGTGATAGCCTCGCCAGAGGAGGTGTATGATCTAACAGGAGCCACGCCCAACCACGACATAGCAGGACTGCTCTCAATAGCAACGGACCCAACTAACCCAAACGGGTAACGAGTAAACGCTTACAGGAGACTTGGAGACTATGTCCATGCCTCCCAGGAAAACTGCACGGCTACGTCAATAAAGCGAGAGTTGCAAAGCCACACTCACCAAAACAGACTACGAACCTACCAAATAGCACAGAGGATAAGGATACTCACTCAAGAAGTCGGGATGTTACAACCAAGGAACCTCCGGCTGGTTACTCCCGATTGGATCTGTAAGCTTCCGAAACAGGAATACGAAAGACTGGTGAGGATGTGCAGCGAGCTGA